CCTGGAAGAGATGTTAATAGTTAGAGTTGGAGAAAAAAGAACTCAAAATTTAAGAGTAAAATTAAATTATATAGGTGTGAGTCAAGTTATTTTGAAATAAATGAAAGCAGAGAATGACTAACCTGTGGAGGTGTTCAGATGATGCTTTATTACAGGATTACTGTATGTTTGAGAGGAGTTAGCGCTGTGAGTATGAGGTTGCAAATCCCTCCAAGTGTTTTCTCTCTTTTTTTTTTTTTTAAGATTTATTTATTTATTCATACAGAACTGGGGTACAGGCCAGAGATGCGGAGGGTGAGAGGACTCACCAAGGACAGAGTGTGGAGCAGAACAGGCAGATCGATGAAGTACACTGCTGAGGGGAGCAGTGGGCGGGTCAGGAGGGGTCTGCCTTGCCATGTGGATCTAGTGGCTTCAGCTTCTCAGTGCTGCGCTTTAACCCACTGTGCCACTAGGGAGAGCTAAATTATTAATCATTTTAATAAAGCATTCAAAAATATTTTCAAATTATACTTCCAAAGTAATACTACAGTGCCCAAAGATATTTTAATAGCATGCCATTAATGGTACATAGTAACACATTCAGAAGGTTATTGTTTTGTGTTATATTTGTACACTCAAGTTGAACTTCAGTGCTGGATGGGCTAATAAAATTGCAGCTCCTCACAGTATTAAACATAAACATTATGAATAGAATGAGTTTAGTCATTCTTGTTCTTTCATGCAAATCTAAAACACAGAAGCAATCTGATGATGTTGGAACTGTTCACAGTACATTAACCATCAGGTTAAAATTTAAAGATGAAAGAGGTTATAAAAAGGAAAAAATTGTCTATTTCTTAGAATTTTTGTTATCTACTGATTATAGCACAACTAATAATCATTTTTTAAAAGCCATAATATTACATGTACTAAAAAAGTTTAAAAAATACTTTCTAGAAATCCATCAGCTTGTATACCTTGAGGGAACTCATTCTATGAGGGAGAAGGATAGAATTGCCGAGAAAATTGGAGGGAGACTGCAGCACAAAGGGCAATTACAGCACAATGGCAGAAGGGCTTTTGAATGGTGTGGACATATAATTGTGGATTTCAAG